CACCCACACACACACACACACACACACACACACACACACACACACACGTGTGTGAGCACCCGAATGCCCACGCACACACGCCCTACATGGAAGAGAAGAGGAAGTGAAGATACTATTTCAGGCTGGGAGTGTGGTTCAGTTGGCGGAGCGCTTGCTTAACATGCCTGAAGCCCAGGGGTCAAGCCCAAAGTACCACATGAAGCATGGTAGTACAAACCTCTAATCCCAGAATTAGGGAGGCGGAGGCAGGAAGATGAGTTCAGGGCCAGCCTCACCTCCCTATCCATCCAGTTCAAGCCACTGAGATACATAAGATTTTGTCTTTAAAAAAAAATAAAAATTAAAGACCCGCAGGCTGGAAAGATGACTCAGAGTTTAAGAGCAGTTGCTGCTCTTTCAGAGGTCCAGGGTTTAATCTCCAGCATCCACATAGCAGCTCCTAACCATCTCTAACTCCAGTTCCAGAGGATCTGACGCCCTCTTCTGGCCTTCTTCAGCACCATGCACACACCAAGTGCACATACATACATGTAGGCAAAACACTCATACACAGAAAATATGAAAATAAATAAATCTTTAAAAAAAAAAAAGAGTTTCAATCCGAAGCCCAGGCTGGCCTCAAACTCACAAACCTCCCCTCCTGCCTCTGCAGTCCTGGCTTCCTCTTGTTTTGGCACACTAGATTTTAGCGCACGCACACAAATGCTTGCTCAAAAGCATCCACAGCCCCTGTTCCCTCCCATCCATGCTCCTCTGTCAACCAGACCCGAGACAGACGTCTTCCCTGAGCTCCCCACTCCATGAAAGCCCCTGAGAGCAGGACAGAGCCTTTTGTTCCTTCTTTCCAGAATGTTCTTCCTCTCACTCCCTGGCTATCTACACATAGATCCCTTAGGTCTCAGCTATGGCATCTCTTCAGCATGCTTCTCTGCTCTCCTCACCCCCATCTCATGTACCTTCTCTGGCCTCTCCCAAGGGAGCGCTCTGGTATGTCAACTGTTAGCATGTCGGTCTCCCTCACAGGGATTGCTGGGAAGAAGGTCCCTGGTCTGCCATGTCGTGGTGGCATATATGTTTTCTGGCACATGAATGCCTGGAAATACGGTTTTACTGAAGTATTCAAAGACGGCAATAACTCTAATGACATTTACTCTATGTGATGACTATTCTGAGTTGTCAACTTGACTATATCTAGAGCTAACTAAAACGAAAATGGCTGGACAAACCCGTGAGGAATTTTTTATTTCTTAATTCAATCATTTAAAGTAGGAAGACCCACTTCTAATTTCGACCTTTTGAGGTGGGAAGATCCACCTTCAGTCTGGGCCACACCTTCTGCTGGCAGCCTATAGGAAGGACATGGGGGGAGGAAGCTGGCTCTCTTTGCCTGCTTGCCCTCGCTCTCACTAGCAAGTCCGAATAATCCTTCACTGGCATCAGAGTCCACTTCTTCAGGATTCTGGTGTATACCGAAGACCAGCTGAGACACCCAGCCGCCTGAACTGAACAACTACTGGATTCTTGGACCTCCTGTTGATAGGCAGTCATTGTTGGCTAGCTGGACCACAGCGGCTAAGCC